TTAAATAAAATCAAATAATAATATTTAAGCAAATTGAATCTCATTATATTACTTTAATTATAAATTCTGATTGTATTGAATTACTTAATTTTATTATAATAGAAATTGTAGGAACAGGTAAATTATATTTAATTAATATGTTAGTAATAGTTTCAATTTGAATAGTAAATATTTGAAGAATTTACAATACAGATTAAATAGAGTTAGTTATTTAATTATTGATAAAAAAAAGTATAATTGGCTATTTTATGCTTACTTTAATCAATATGTAACTATAGAATATGATCACAGATACTTGAATGATAAGTATTTTTTTTGTTTATTTATTTATTTACATTATTTCTAATTTAAGTATTTATTTATAATATAAATATAAATCGATTATAATAAATAACAGTAATTTTCTTTTGAATAAAATAGTTAAAATAAAATATTAACAATTAAATAATATGAAGTAATTCTTTATGATCATAAATGAGATAATTCATATTAAATAATTGTTAATAATATTCAATATAGTAAAATAACTATTTATAATGCAATAAAATATTTTAAAGAAATTAGATCTATAATATCAAAAAAAAATATTGTGATATAAAGTTACTTTTTGATTCAAATGTATAAGCTTTACTTAAAAAACTTATTATATAAAATTTGAAGCATCAACACTCTATCACTTAAAAAATTTAAAATTATGGACTAAAAAAAAAAAAGTTTTAACTATTATAATTCATCAGACTCTTAAAAATGTTAGCTTACATTTGTGTATTACTCATTCTAAACTATTAATTTCTGAAAATAATAAAAAAAGATTGGTTTAAGTTTTGAAATAAAAAGATTGAACAATTGCAAAGTAAAAAAAATTGTATAATCTGATAAATCAATATTTAGTTAATTTTATAAGATTATAATTTATGTATGTAAAGTATATCAGAAGACAAATTTGATCTTTTATATTTAACTGCTATAGTAAAACACAATCTTAGTCAAATATTTGGGGATGTTTTTCATGATATAGACTGGAATTTCTTATTCTTCTTTATAAATCTGTAATAGGACAAAAATATGCAAAAGTATAACAGAAATATGCTATTCCTTTACATTACAAATTAGTTTCTTGTAAACAAGAAATTTTTTAGAAGGATAATGCTTCAACTCATTAAGCAAAGATTATTGCTAATATTTGTAATACTGCAAAGATTCCTGTACTACTCTAACTTGTATAAAATTCTGATTTAAATCCAATTGAAAATCTTTGAAATATGATAAAAAAGTGCGTAATTTACTAAAAATTTAAAAGATTTAAGATGTAAGATAAAAAATACTTGACATTTAATTTTACTTAAGTATATTTAAATTTGATTAAAAGTATACCTTATTAAATTCAAGCATATATAATAGCTGAAGAAGGTTCAACAAAGTATTAGTTTTATTTAATTTTTAATAAATATATTAGTATATTTAGAATAAATAAAAGTTAGTTTATTTTATAAATAAATATTAATATAATAAGTAAATACAAATAATTTTTAATCATTCAGATATCTGTGATTACCTTCTATATATCAAGTTTTTTCAAAGTAGAAAATAAAATATTTAATAGTTGATTGATTATTCTGATTAGAAAATTTTGATAAGCTTTTATTAATATAAGAACTTGTCAATAAAAAAGAAAAATTTTTATTAATTTTAGTTTCTAAACTTTTTTTGAATATATGACTATGATAAATTAAGTAAACTAATAAAAAAATTTTTATCAAAATTTAGATTTTTCTCTTTTCTATTAATTAGACCTTATATTTAATAAGCTCATATATTCTTAAATTATTAATGTGATCTATTATCAAATAATAATATAGTAATATATAATTATTTTTAAGAAATCTATAAGCTTAAAGTTATTTAATATTAATTAAAAAATTTAGAAGAATAATGTGATTTTAAAACTATTCTATTAAAAATTTATATGATTAAATATAATATTGTAACATAATTTTTAATATTATTACAATATTATAATTGCTTATTTGTTACTTATTGAATTGAGAATAGTAAAAATTAAACCTAAGAATGCAACTAATTAAGGTTTATTTTTAGTAATAATAAATTTATTATAGATGATTAAAAAGTACTTATTATATGATTTATTAATGCGTCAACTATATTATTTATAAAATATAACCAATTTTTAGATGTTATATTTCTTATTAAATCAGATATTATTGAATTTAATATTAATAAATTTAAATTATTAAATTATCTTATTGTTAGAATTAATAATATTTATACAAGTAGTTTTGAAATACATAAGGCTAACTGTGATATAATAAAAGGATTAGAGCTGTAATTTTTTACTAGTAAAAGAAGCAAAATTTATGCTTAGAATCAACTTATAAATAGAAATTAATTTAATAAATAGATTTGTAAATACTATTTAAAATATCATTTTTTGAACAAAATCAAAGTTCATTTTTTTCTTATTATAATTATGATAGAATTTGATAATTATATATTAATTTTACTATTATAATTATCAAAAGTAAAAAATTTTTTTAATTTTACTAATTAGATATATTTAAAAGAAAAAAAAGAATTTGCTTATACTTGTAAGTATTTATTTATCTTGCTTAAATTATAATGATATATAATTATTAAAGATTAATATTATAAAAAGCTATGATAAATCTTAAGAAAAAAATATGCTACTAGGTTTTTATTTATTGTAATTTCTTAGATTTATACTTTAAAGATATGTTTTTTAGACCATTTTTATATAAAAGAATTTAATAAGTCAAAATTTGTAAAAAATTACAAGAAAGAATAATTAAAATTAGTGTTTTGTAAATCAGATCAGATCAGATTTTATCCAAATCTGATCTGATTTAATTTTCATTTTTTAGGATCTAAATCTGATCTGAATCTGACAAATCTATTAAAATCCAGATCTGATCTAAATCTGACAGATTGAATCTCAAATTCAGATCTAATAGATCAGTTTAAATCCAAATCTAATCTGATCTAAGTTCAAAAGTTTTATTGAAAAATGAATTTTCAGTTCTAAAAGAGATCTGAAAATTCATTTCTTTTTAATGAAAGGAACTTTTCAACTCTAAAAGAGTCTAAAAATTCATTCTTTTTCAATGAAAGGAACTTTTCAGTTCTAAAAAAAATCTGAAAATTTGTTTCTTTTAAATGAAAAGAAACAAATTTTCAGCTCTAAAGAAGTCTGAAAATTCAATTTCAACTTTGAATTCAAATTTAACAGATCAGATCTGAATCCAATCTGAATCTGTGTAGAACACTACTAAAGATACATATTTATTGTCTAAGTTTTCTCATATTATGAATATATAATTAATATTAATTATTTAATCATAAATTATTTATTTATTATAAAATATAAATTATATTATAACATAAAATAAAAATAAAATACAAAAAAGTTGCAATTAAAAAAACAGAATACTTCTCTTATGAAAAAAATTTTTATTAAATATAAATTAAATATTTATATTATAATATAAAATATAATTACAAATTTAATTTATCTATATATTTTTTTAGCAATATTTTTTAAACTGATATATTTTATTTTAGCAATAAATTTTTATTTTAAATAATATATTTTTTTTAAGTACTATATTTTTAAGCAATACATTTATAATTTAACTTTATATTTTTAACAATACATAAATTTTAAGCAATATAATTTTTTTAGTAATATTTTTTAATAATACAGTGAATATTATTAATATTTATATGATTATAATATTTCAGATACTTTAATAGATACTGTTTTTTAGAATATATTATAAAATAAAATTAAATATTATAAAATTAATTTTTATATATTTAGATTAATTATATTACAAATTAATTAATTAATTGTAATATTATAAATTAATTATAATATATAAATATTTTATATATAGATACTTTGTAGTAAAAAAAAAAAATTACCAAAAAAAATTTTTTATTTAATAAGTTAAATATTATTTTTTAGTAAATAAATTCAAATTTAATATTAACTTAAAAAATTTTTTTAGTAATTTTCTCTTTTTACTGCAAAACATTTATATTTAAAACTTGTAATTTTTAGATAATAATTTTATTTTAAATTATAATAAGTATTATTTTTAATATTTTATTATTAATTTATTCTATTTTTAAGCTTAAATTTATATTTTATTAAATTTATTAAATAAATTTTTTTTAATATTACTTTTAAAATTCAGATTTTTATTTGATTAATAAAATCATTTTTAACTTTAATAATATAGAACTCTTGTAATAAAAAAGAGAAAAATTGTTAAAAAAATATAAAATGAATTAATGTTAAATTTAAATATATTTTTAACCTAAAAATCATATTTAGTATATAAAAGTAAAATTGATTTTTTTTTTGATAGTTTTCTTTTCTATTACAAAGATTCTATATATTTATTATATTTATTTAGTAAAATTGCTTTTGAAATTTAAAATGAACTTTACTAAATTTTTTTTAGTAAAAATTCTATTTAAAATTTAAAATATATATTTTATTAATAAAAATTTCTTTTAAAGTATTCTTTATTAATATTAAACATAATGATATTTATCACTTTTTAATATTAAAGCATTTATTTGATTTTTTTGATTTAATCATTTGATTTGATTTAATATTAAAAAAAACATTACTATTTATTATTAAATTTATTTAAATTAAAATAATAAAATTAAACAACATAAATATCCTATTACATCTTTAATTTCATATATTATGAAGCTTATAATATTTTATTTTAAGTTAATAAATTATCATTATATATTTATTAATGCCTTTATTTAAATTTATAAAATTATTTTACTAAAATTTGTTGAATTCTATTAATAGCATCTTGTATAAGATATATATTAAATAAATTTGATTGCAATATCTATAAAATTTAAATATGAATTATAAATTAAATAATTAATATTAAGAATCATATTATAAGAATGAATTGTTTTATAAGAATTAATTATACCGCTAATTCTTGAGATGGAGTAAATTGTATATTATTAAGATTAGTTTCGTCTAATAAAAGATTAAATTCTACTGTATTTGGTTGTACTTTTTCGGAAAAATTTGATAAAATATCATTATGATTATGCCCGGTATGAGATGTTTCTAAAATTTTATAATATTAATTTTATTTTACTTATTAAAAAACTGAAAAATGTTAATCGCATAATTGCATAATAAACACTTACCTTGAACATTTTTATTCAATTTCTCTAATTTTTTGCCGAATTCTATTGCCAAGATATCACATTGCTTTTTTATTGGTTCTATATATTCTTTATTTGTTTCACTTATCTGTTTATTATTCCATACTCCAGTCTAAATATAAAAAACCAATGAGTAAGAAAAAAAAATTTTTAGCAATTATTAAAATAAGATCATACCAAATTCTCTTTATCTCTCATTAATAAAAAAAGATAAAAATTCAATCCTTGCATAATAAAACTATACTTTTCTGAAAATTCTTTTTCGTTTTCCAGTATTGAGGGTGATTCAAATCGAAGTATATGTGGAAAGAAAGTTTCAATAATAAATCTGCTAGCAAAAACAGAAATGGTAGACTATGACAAATAATAATAATGAATTTAAGTACAAACATCCAAAGAAGCGATAAGCTTAGTTAATTTACTTACCTTATCATTAGATTTACTTTCATATGCTTTATTTAATCCTTGAGCAACATTTTCCTTTACAATCTCAATCGCAGCACTTTTCATGGTCTCAAATGGACAATTTGTTAATAATTCACGTAATAAAAAAATCCTAGCATCATCTTTACACAGCGTTATTAAACGCGAAAGTAATTTAAAGGAAATGAAACGTAAAGTTTCATCTGGTGAAGTTGATGCAAATACACTGATAAATTGATATAAGTGTGTTATGGTCGTCCCATCATTGGACAATTTAGCCTCAAGGTGGTCTGAAGAAATAGTATTTTCTTCATTTCTCTCAGTCAAATATAATAACACAAGTAAAGTCTTATCCGCCATTTCAAGTTCTTTAGCATCGCTATGAACAATGATATTTGCATTAGTTAAAATTAGATAGGTTGCAAAACGCATTTTAAATTATTACCTTGATAGACATTTTGAAGCAATGGAAACAATATTTTTGAATAACCATCCAGGAGACAAAGGAATTACGGCTTTTTCTACGCTGGAATCATCTTGGTGCATAAATTGATAATATATAACGCTTGCCACATATATTATAACTCCGCTTGGTGAAATAGGGAAATCTTTAGTAGAAAATATGCTGTCTTTTACTTAAATAGGTAGGAAAGTAATTTAATAATTTTCAATCATTAAGAAAATATAATGATTCAAAGTCTTATTACCAGTTGGCTCTTTAATTAAACTATTAATATAATTCACAAGTTGATCTATAGAGATATGAGCTTTTATAGAAGCTTGCTGATAAAAGAACAGTTGGTTATTTGGGTATAATGTTATTAAATCCTTTAAATCTACTTACAATTAATCTAATTAATCTGGCTTTATCAATAGTTCGAACACCTGCACTCTGCTTACGTTCCCATAAAATGTGAAATTTGGGATGGTATATCTCATAATAGGCGGGGGACATAGGAATATGAGTTGATCGAATAAATTTCTCAAATGAAGTGATAATCAAATAACTCGATAAATAATATTCTTGATTATCTAAATCTTTTCGTGTAGGATCAAGTTTAAGTTCCTAATATCAAAGAACTTATTAAAAGCTTATGAAGTTAATTACCTAAATTAAAAATTTTTCGTTTATCATTCTGACCTTTTTTTCCACTTCCATCAGCTCTGCTATGATTTCAGCGAATTGGATTAAACTATCAGTAACAATATCACTATGCACATCATCAAGTTCATCCAGCGCCGACCATACGCGAATAACAGCTTGAACCGTTTCTGGTAGAAATTTAATCAAAATTTTTCTATCCAATCGATTGAGAACTAAAGTATCATCAATAATGAATTATTGTAAATACTACTTAGTTCATTATTGATATGAATATAGAAACTACTTAACCTATTCTTAGGACTTTAATTAAGTTGCTAAATTCCATTGTAGAGCAATGTTGACTCTTCCATTCAAGCCAACTAAACCTTTCCATAATCATCATATGTGTCTCTCGTGCATTGTTGTGTTGTGCGATGCTTTGAACAATTTCTTGTGTTATATTTGAGGTTGAATCAGATAATGAAAGAAAAGGCATCATCAACGTAAACACATCCCAAGAAATTTGTTTTAAAAGTTTGATCTAAAAAAAAAATTCCGTTGGAATGTAAATAAGTAGTTTTAAAAAAGAATTCCGTAAAATTTAAAAAGTTACCTTTTCTTCTTCTTCGTTTAATGGTAAAATTGAAAACTTTAAGCAATTTAGTAATTCATTTTGTTCTTTTTTTGAATAATTTGTAGGTGCAGATAAATTCTCATTAAGTATTATTGTAAGTGCAGAATGGCACTCATAGTCTGAAGGATCTTGTTTAAGTTTCTTTATTATGAAATGGGTATAAAATACATAACCTTTAGTAAAAGAGTTAAGAATAAAGAATATAAATTAAAAAAGAAAGGCACCTTAAGACAATGTTTTGTGCCTTCTTCAATAGAGCGTTTTACTTGCTCAAAGTTAACTAATTCCATTTTTTAAAAAAAAAGTTTATTAAAAAAAAAAAATTAAATTCGTAAAAATTATCCATCGATCACATGCATACAACTTACCTAATTGAGGCTTGTTTTTCAAAAATAGAAAACAATTTAAAACCTACATTTTTGAATTATCGTAAACCAACTTTTTGACGGATGTAATTATAATTCACTCTTTCTAAGGATGAAGTTTAATCTTAAATCTCTGGCCCTTACAATAGGGCTGGCCACCTTTGCATTTTCCAACGTTTCTGAAGCAGCAAATGGTTTTTATTATATCTATCTTTTTGATATTGAATTTTGAAAAAAGCACTTTTAATTCATTACTCGATTTTCACTGTTAGCTGCAGATTATTATGTGGGATCACTACCTGGTCTTCCGGATCATGTAAATTTGAAGTCACATGCTGGGTATGATACATATTTATTTATCTTAACAAAAAAAAAGTCCTTTTCAATTTGCTGACTATTATGTTTTAAATTTTAGGCACATAACAATTGATGAACTATCAGATTCTAATATATTCTTTTGGCTAATGCATAATCGCCATATTGCTAACAAAGCTAAATTAGTTAGTTATTTAATTTAACTATTTTTGTATTTAAAGAATTATTAACCTAAATTACGATTTGAAAATAGGTTATTTGGCTCAATGGAGGTATGTTATAAGGTTTAACTTTAATGTTGAATGTACAGTTTATCGTAATTAAATTTAAATCTTTAAAATCACTGAATAGGTCCTGGTTGGTAAGTTGAAGTTTATGTTTGTTATGTGAACTATCATTTTATCTTCTTATGAATAATTAATTTTACTCTTTCACGTATTTTCGCAAATTTAGCTCAAGGTAATAATTTCTTTTTTTGTTTACTCAAATTTATTTAATATAATTTAACGGAATTTCTTTGTATTTAGTATGGATGGTGTATTTCTTGAGACTGGACCTTTTAGGATTAATGAGGATCAAACATTGAAACCTTTATATGGAGGATGGAATGAGTTTGCTAATGTGTTGTATGGTAGGTATAAATTAATGATTCTATTTTGGTATTTAAATAGTATAGCTCATTTTTAATAAATTATTTCAAAAGTTGATCAGCCTGTAGGAACAGGATTTAGTTTCTCAAAACCAAACGCTTATGCGAAGAACATGACTCAAGTCACGCAACAATTCTTATCGTTTCTTGATAAATTTTTTGAAATTTTTCCAGAATATTCTCAAGATGATGTAAGATTGCTTAATGATTAAATATGATAGGATATCGAATCACAAATTATTAAATATCATCTAAAATTTAGATGTATTTGTCCGGAGAGAGCTATGCTGGGACATTCATACCATACATAGCAAATGGAATTTTGAAACGTAATAATGAAAGGAAAACACCTGATTATCAAAAGGTAATTCGAACTTTTTAATTAATTTATTTATTTTAGAAATATCTATAAACTATATATATTTATATATTACCGTCTTTAGTATAATTTACGAGGAATAGCGATCGGAAATGGATGGATTGATCCTAATACACAAGTACGTATAAAAAATTAGAATGGTTTATTATCATAAAAAGTTTTTAATAAATTTTAACCATAAATTATATTTTATAATCAGTATAGTTCATATTATAATTATTCAATGGCTAATAATCTTTTAAACGGAAATTATAAGGTATGACACTCTTTTTTTTAGTTATTGGAAATGCTTTAAATTTACTTTTCTCCTTTCTTTAGGTTCTTGCGGAGTCACAATTAAAAGTATGTAACGATATTTTAAAGAGATCATCTAAAATCAAGGTCGAAGAATGTGAGCAAATTCTTAACATAATTTTGCAGAACTCACGGAAACGGTATCCTTTTTTCTTTTTCTTTTTTTTTTTGAAAAAAAATTATGTAAAATTTAATTTAATTAAAAAATCATCCAAAATATTATATATAGTGTTAAAACAGGTCAGACGTGTATAAATCAATACGATATCCGAGATCATTCTGATTCTTATCCTTCTTGTGGGCTTAAGTGGCCATACGAACTAGCTACTGTCTATAAATATTTGCGTGTAATTATTTTCTCTATTATTTATGATTTCAATAACTTATTATTCTCCTAAAAATATATATATATTAATTTTATGCGTATTAGAGGCCTGACGTTGTTAAATCTCTTCACGCAACTAAGAGACAAGGTTATTGGATAGAATGTAGCAGTTCAGTTAACATGGGATTCGATGGTGATAAAAGCCCACCTTCTATAACAGTATGTACATTTATTATAAAAGTTATTTTAAAATTACATTATGAGTTATTAATTCATCTATTAATTGATAGTTATTTCCCGAAATTTTAAAACAAATCAATGTATTAATATACAGGTCTGTATATTTCTCTTGTTAAAGTTCAAATTATATAAATTATTTATTTTTATTTTATAATTCTTTAAAAATAGTGGAGACCAAGATATAATTTGTAATTATATGGGAACTGAAGCCATGATAAGTAACTTAGAATGGAATGGTTACAAAGGTTTTCAGGTAATTTCAAATCAATAATTTGTCTTCATAATTTAAAATTATTTAATAATTATTTTTTGTTGTAGAATAATACAAAATTACTTTGGTATGTTAATGATACTCTTGCAGGGAATATTGTCACAGAGAGAAATCTTACATATGTTAAAGTATATAACGCAAGTCATATGGTACCATATGATGTTCCTCTTGTAACTATGGATATGATGTATAGATTTATGGGATTGGATCATCATATAGAAAATTTTTCATCAAGGATCGAGTCGGAAGTAAGCTTATTCAATCGACATTTTTTTTTTTTCCCAAATATTTTAAGAATGAAGCATTATTTAAATACAAAAAAAAAAAAAAATTGTTTTAATGTATAGGAACTAAATAACGATAAACAAAACGATTCAGATTCTGTAAACGAGCAAGAAATTTGGAATCGTTATTATGATGCGTAAGTAAATGCTACCTTTTAATTTGTGGTTTTTTAATGATTAACTAATCTATTAATTCGCTTTATATTAATTTTTTTTGGTTAGTGGTACTACAACACTTATAATCGTTATTTTTGGTGTAATTGGATTGGCTATATTCATATTTCGAGGAAAAATTATGAAAAAATTCCAGCATACGAAAGTAGATACCGAAGAGTAAGTACTTTTGAAATACTTTGACTATTGTTTCATTTTGAAAAGATCTAATATCTTTTAAATACTTAATAGGGAACAATTTATTGATTCAGATGGTGATGGAGATAGCGGTACCGAAGATAATCAAAAGTCGGATGATAATAAGAAAAAATATAAAGATGAAGAAGAACAGATAAATTAATGAATATTTATATTTGTATTTGGATTGAAAAATTATCTATTTATTTTATTTATTTATTACATATACAAGTATATGTTATAATAATGAATTTATGTGAAGATTAAAAAATATTTATAGAATAAATTCGAGTTATTAGAATAAATAATCATTTCTAATCCATAAAATTATCAGTAATATTTTATAATATTAATCATAAACCTTTTGAAAAATTAAGATTTAGCATATAAATTTGGGGACAAATCTTTTGTAATACAGTCTTGATTTGAAACGATGTGCATTTAAAAAAATTTTTTGATATGATCTCTATATGCTTGGCTGAATATGATTGCGCATTAGAGAAAAAAATATAGTATGTGCATTTAAAGGTGCATATAGAGAGATTTAATTACTTCCAAGTCATGTGCCAGCTAATTTAATATTGGTCGAAATTATTAAAAAAGCAGAAGAGTTGAAGAGCTTGAAGAGGTTTAAAGAATTAAAGATTTAGAAAGAAAAAGAGAGGTTGAAGGAGGCAAATATTTTATATAAAATTGTTTGTCTCATTCTTACTGTTAAGGAAAAGACTTTTTTTTTTAAAAAGCTTTATTAGAGAACTTGGTATTTATAATTGCTTTCTTATTCATACATTATCTTAATTTACTTTATAATATTATGTTAATTTAATCAATACTTTAATAAATCGATATTTTTTTCTAATTAGTTTTGATGTTACCTATCGTTAAAATATTTAATTGATTTTTCTAAATATTTTTTTTTTGCTTTTTTAAAAGTTTAAGGTTTTGCGGGGAAAACACTAACCCCATTTTGGCAAAAGTCGAAACCTTTCGGGTTTCGATTTCGGGTTTTACCCGGCAACCTTATTTTAAAATAATGGTTTATTTTTTTGAAATATCGCTAAAATGTCCAAAAAGAAAACGGAAAAATTAATTACGGTAATAATTACGCTAACCAAAAGAGGGTATTTATAAAAGTAGAAAGGGATGAAGGAAAAGATGTGCATGTTAATAAATAAATCCATTATCATTTAGAAGACTTTATCTTTATGTGAATTCACTCCTTTCTGAGGTCAAATCCACCAAATGGGTTTGAAAGATAAAAATTCATTCACAACGGGCCTAACAAGAAAGAAACCTCACAAGAAAAGTCATACGGTTAACAAAGCAATGGAAGTACCCTTGAGTGATAATTTGTAGTGGGATAATTTTAACCAATTAGTACTTTACAATCTGATAATACCGCTAAAGGATTATGAGGGCATAAACAATTGAGCGGTGAAATAAAAGAAACGGTCGGTAGTTTAAAAGAAACTGTTGATAACTTGTAAAAAGTAAAGAAAGTTATGAAACTGCCAAGGAAACTGTGAAGAAAACTTTTTATTCTGTTAAAGGTTATACTATACAATCTAATAATGATATGTATAAAATACGAATAATAATCATCAAGAAAAAGAATGAGAGACTTGATAGAGTGGAAGTGCAGCCGCTCAAGAAAAAAAATGAAAAAGTTTTCAAGTGTAAGGACAGGATATAAAAGAAAAAAGTTAAGAAACCATGAAAAGTGGTCAAAGAGAAAGGAGAAGGTCAAGTCAAGAGTTATTAAACTCGTTTAAAGGAAAAGGACAAGACTGGAGCTAATAAATTGAACGTGAACATGATAAATAACGTATTAATAATGGATTAATAATTTATTTTCTCAAATTTGATTTTAACCGCGAGACCAAAAACAGAAAAATAAATATGTAGATAATATAGAATTGAAATCTAGATTCGATATAACATTTTGTTTGTTCAACAAACCATAAAAAATTTGAGTAACAGAATTTTATTCGAAAGTTAGTGCGCCGAAAAAAGGGTCGGGTGGATTATTATAAATATAAAGTAGGTTCGTACTGCGAAGCAATTTACGAATAAATTTTTCGTCATAAAACTTGTGGGTACAAAATATTTGGGATAGAAGTATCGATCTAGGCATCCAACTATTTTTTATAACTAATTTTTCAAATTGGCTAATTAATTTTTTCCCATATTTAATCAACTTGAACCCACTGGCATCACCATCAAAAATAATAAATTGCCAAGTAAAGTTGGTGCGTTTCTAATGACAACATAATCGAGGAGTTGTTCATTGAAAATATCCACCATAGTTTGTCATTTTGCCACATGCACATCAATAACTGACATCGTTTCAACTTTGTAGGAGCTTACGAAAAGGTAGTACCACGTGTAAAATTATCCTTACAATGACGTAATTCGTAGATCGTTTATGTGATTATATAAACTCCCCAGTTTCCACTACACTTCATGATGCAAAATACTTTAAAAATACAAAGTGAAAGGTTCTGAGAGCCGTTTTTAAATTCTACTATTTTTCAAGTCAAGCCTTTTACTCTAAAAATTGAACTTTACTTTTTTATTTATTTTATATTTCGATGACTTACTCTATCTAATACCAGGTAAGACTGAGTAGATTGTGACTGCTGAGTCTACTGTTTCTGTATGGGGATCAGTTATGTTCTTGCTTGCAGTCAAAGTAAAAATTAGTTTTATGCTTATCATTTTATGTGCTTGATAGTAGAAGAATATCTATATTTGTCGCAGACTAAAAGTTGGTAATAGGAAAGGCTGAATAGTCAATACGTTAGAGAAAAATGTGTTCTCTAATAGGAAGGACGTTAATGCTCTATCTCTACTACTGAGTGTGTATTGACGTCTTGGCGTTCATAGTTGAAGTTGCACATGATTATTTTTGTTTCTGTTACTCACTATTGTTTAATTATAGAGGATTATCATAAGTTTTCAAACGCAACTTTTGGAACACGATTGCTATACAAAAAAGGTAATGTTTATTATATAAATATGGGTTATTTTTGTTTATTTGTCTTAAAAAAGGATTGGCAATCCTAGTTCAGTTGGTAACAACTGAGCTCCTATTGTGGGTTACATTGCAATAGCCACAGGTTCAAGTCTCAGCTAAAGCATAAAACTAAATGATTTTCTTAAGAATTTCATATGTAACTGAATATGTGAGCGTATATACTAATATGTGTTAGAAACTGATTGATCAATCTATCGATTAGTATTGATCATACCTAAATACTAGATTTTAAAAAACAAGTGGATGTATATGAAGCTAGGAATCGACAGAAACTTGGCCTTTGCTGATAGACCTGTAATGGGTACTGTCTCACGTCTTCAAATTCAGAAGCTCTTATACAAGTAAAGAAGTGGTTAACCAGTAATTAGTAGATTGGATATTACCTACAGATAGCTATGGTAATAATAGACTGCAATGTACTGCTGCAGCACTATCCAATTGAGCTGTCACTAGGAGTAGAAGTCAGGTTCAATTCCTGTGTAAATTTGATGATATGGGTACAATAATCACCTACCTTTCTGAGATTCTATAAGATAAACAATGTTTAAGCCTTTCCGATCATGTGTAAAAATACCCTGATACTAGGCAGAGATAATAGTAATCCAAATATGGTGTTAGTAAGTACAGGGAAAATCTGACAAAAGTACCTGTAGTTGAAAGTGATCCTTTTATCCAAATTTGACAGTGGTTCTGAGGTCTAGGGACACTAAGGGCTAGCTCTTAGAGAGTCGACCTAGGTGGAAATCTTCAGACCAGTATTACAGGGCGGGTTCTGGTTAGAACTAATGTGTCTAATTATGACTTTGAGAAAAACTTAGGATGAGTTGAGGGTCACATCTCAGTAGTACCATCTGTTTAACAATTCCTTGTACTGGATACTGAAACTTGAAAAAAAAAAAGTTTATTTGTCTTAAAAAACATTTCTAACTTTATTTTTTCTTTCTCACTTTATTTTTTTTTACAAATTGTGGTTACAACTGCAATAATGGAGAAAAATAACAAATTGATTGCAGAACAACGAGATGCTATATTTTATCTTCGTAAAAATAGCAATTTGTATAATCAGATTGCAAAAACTGTTAAATGTGACAAAATAACAGTTTATGATACATTAAAAAGACATGCCAAAACTGGATCTATTGATTCTAAGTCTCGTTTCAGACAACTGCACCTGATCGATATCATGAATTGCAATCAGTTTAAATGTTTGATAACAAACAAAAAAGCATAAAATCGACAATTATATGCTACTAGAATAAAAGAACTATAGAAAAAAAAACAAGCCAGAATGTTTCAGAAATTACCATTTGTTGCACCCTTTATTCACTAGGACTAAGAAGTTGTATTACATGACAAAAACCTTTCATTTTATCAGCAAATAAAGAGGCATGACTTGCATGATGTTTAGAACATGAAAGTTAGACAAAAATGATTGGGTAAAGTATTATGAAGTGATGAATCAACCTTTACTCAATTTTAGAAAAGTCGTACTAGCAGAGTATGGAGAGAACCAAAAGATGAATGGTCACTCTCTTGTGTTTCAGCCACAATTAAACACAGCCCAAGCCACATGTCTTGGGGTTATTTTTTACGAAAAGGGATGGAACTGATTGTACCACTTCATGGATAAGCAACTGGAACTATTCACGTTAAAATAATGTGAAAATATGCTTTACCTACAATGAAATGCATGTTTTCAAGAAACAATGGTTCGTTTCAAGAAGATAATGCTAGACCTCACAAAATAAAGGTTGCATCATCATTTTGTGCAGAAAAAAATCTGCATATTCTTTCTTGGCCCGCTCAAAGCCCAGACCTTAACCCAATTGAAAATTTATAGGTTGAAGTAAAAAAGAAAATTAGAAATAAAAAGAAAAAGCCAACCAACCTTGCTGAACTTGAAAGGGATGTTAAAAATGCATGGAAAGCAATTCTGAAATGTCTGATCAAAAATTTAGTCGATAGTATGCCAGCACAAATTCAAGCGGTAATTGCGACGGAAGGTTGCCCAATTAAATACTAGTTTAATAATACAAAATGTAGGTTTTGATAAGCTTAAAATAAAGTTTTAATAAAGTTTTTTTGGTTGAGTTTTAAAAATTAAACATTTTATATTGCATAAAAAT